TGTGTTTTTGAGACAGGGTCTCACTATGTAGCTCTGGCTGTCCTAGAACTCACTATGTAGACCAGGCTGGCCTCGAACTCACTCACAGAGATCTTCCTGCTTCTGCTTCCCAAGTGCTGAGATTAAAAGCATGAGCTGCTACACCCGACTCTACTATGTTTTCTTATAGAAATTTTATATCTGTGATTCATTTGAGTTAGTTTTTTATATGTAGTGATATAACTAATACTTCCTCTGTGAGCTCCTTGTCTATCTTTAAATTAATGCCACTGTCTTGATTATTTAACTTTATAAAAGTATTGAGGTCAAGTAGTTTGAGTTTCACAGTTTTATTCTTTCAAGAGTTATTTTGGGCATTTTAGGATCTTTGCATTTTCATATAAAATAGAAGAATCTATTTCTGATTTCTACAAGGACATCAAAAATCTTCCTATGATTTAGTTGAGATGCCGTTAAAAATTTAAGACAACAGAGAAACTAGACATAATTCTTCTACTCAAACATTTTAACAACCTGTGGATTTCCAATCCATTGACTTGGTATAGCTCTCCAATGAGTCAGGTCTTTTTATCTAGGTATCTAAGCACTGGGGTTTTGTCTTGTTTTAATTTGTTAGTATGAATGCCTTACACATCTTTTGCCAAACATTCTTAAAAGTTTTAGTTTGGTAGTACTGTGAAGAGCTTTTTAAAAATTCTTTAATTTCTGAAATTTAATTCTATGTAGCAGTAATTGATTTTGTCTATTGACGTGTATCCTGTGACCTTGCTAACTAACATTTTAGTAGCTTTTGTGTAAGTCCACATAGATAATTGTCCCGTGAGACTAAAGGTGGTTTCCCTTTCTCCTGCTGATCGATAGATATGCCTTCTTTTCTTTCTCTGTCACATTGTGGTGCACATAAACACTAGACATGCTGTACCAGAAACTCTAATATGATGTCGTGCATTAGTAAGGGCAAGTATTCCTGTCTTCTTCCCCAGAGGTCCTCCATTAGATATATGATACTAGTCATACTATTGGAAGATACTCTAATCAGGTTGAGAAGTTTCCCTTTATGCTTTATTTTGCTGGAAGCTATTTTTTTTATTATTGAAATGGATTTAGGTTTGGGCAGATATTTTTTTCCTACATCTTTTAAGATGATCATAACTTTTTGTATTTAGCCTCTTAGGCTTATGAGTTATAAGGGTTTATTTTTGAATTTTGAACCAGCCTCACATTCCTGGAATAAATTTCACTTGGCCATCATATACTTTCTCTTTTTATATTGTTGGGCTTGACTTTCTAAATTTTTATTTAGATATTCTTTTTGCATCTGAGCTCATAAAAGCTACTGGTCTGTTTTTCTGTTTCCAGTGTCTGGTTTTGTTATCAGGGCAATGAACCTTCATGGAATGAGTTTGGAAATATTTTGTTCTCTTCAGTGTTTCAGAAGATCTGTGGAATTGTTGTTTGGTAGAATTTGACAGTGATACCATCTAGGCTGGAAATTTTCTTTGTATTAAGATTTTTTAGCTACAAAGTCAATATTTTTTAAGTAATCAAAGAATGACTTATATTATCGAGCTTATTATTATTATTTTAATGGTTTCATACAAGTATATATTCTCCCCACACCCCCTTCTCTCTCCTTTTTCTTCTCTCCCTCCTTATTCCTCTTTGTTCCTCTAGACTGTTGCATTCTACTTTTACACCCACGTACATGATTTTTTTTGTATTATGTAAAATCTAGAGAGCATAAATGAGAGAAAACACAATATTTGTCCGAGGCTGGCTTGATCTGCCTAAAGTGATTATTTCCAGTTGCATGCATTTCCTACAAATGACATATTGCCAATATTAATAATCTTATTTTATCAATAATTGTATTAATAATTCTTGTGTTAATAATTTTAAATTAAAATATAATTATGTCATTTGCCCCCTTCCCTCTCCTCCCTCCAACATCTTACATGTATCTCTCCTTTTGATCTCCCTCAAATTCATGGCCTTTTTTTTTCTTTTTTAAAATTTTTTTATTCATTTTATATAACAACTACAGACCCCCTCTCATCCCTCCTCCCCACAACCCCTCATCCCCACCTCTAACAGGGTAAGTCCTCTCATGGCAGGACAACTAAGCCTGGTACATTTGGTTGAGGCAGGACCAAACCCCTCCCTGCTGCATCAAGGGTGAGCAAGATGTCCGACCATAGGTATTGGGGTCCAGAAAGTCCGCTTATGTACCAGGGATAGAGCCTGATCACACTGCCAGAGGCCCCTCAAACAGACCCAGCTACACAACTATCTCCAGTATGCAGAGGGTCCAGTCCGGTCCCATACAGATTCCACAGCTGTTGGTATAAAGTTTGTGAGTTCCTTTGAGCTTGGGTCATCTGTCTCTGTAGACTTCCCCATCATGACCTTGACCCTCTTTGCTCACATAATCCCTCTTCCGTCTCTTCGACTGGACTCCTGGAGCTCGGCCTGGTGCTTGGCTGTGGATCTCTGCATTTCTTCCTTCAGTTACTGGATGAATGCTCTCTGGGTCCGATCAGAGCTGGTGGAGTCTGTCGGCCTCTTTTTTCTTATAAATACCAACTGGATCTTTACCATCACTTTACCAAACCAGCACAATTTCTAACTGCATTCTAAGTACAAATCCTTATACCCACAGATAAATGTAGCTCTTAGCCTTCATCAAAAAAGCTTACCTTTGCAACAGAAACCATTGTAGAAAAATCACAACTCATCCAAGTGCAGAGTTGTGGAGCCCAGTCCCAACTGACACAACATCTACAGCATAGCTCCTGTACCTAAGGCTCAGGGATGATCACACATCAACAGAAGAAGAAAGTTTTTGAGAGTCAAAGGAACAGGAAATCTGCTGTGAGATTGCCTCTTCTAGAAATGTCATGGAAGCTATGTACTCATGATATCTCATCAATATGGCTGCCTAAACAAAAGACCCGAACACAGACAATGCCAATAAACATGCTAATGTAGAAGGGGCAAATCTCACAGGATCCCAACCCTAGACAAAGAATTAGAGGCAACTAAGAAAGGCTGAGAGTGGGAGAAATAGTTGTGAATAGAGCTGTGATAAACAATGATGTGCATGTGTACCTGTGATATATGGATTTGGAGTTCTTTAGATAAATAACCAGGATTGGTATAGCTGAGCCATATAATAATAATTGATGGTGTTATCCATCTCTTTACAAACCTCCATGCTGGGTCCATAGTGGCTGGACTAGTTTACGTTTCCAGCATTAGTATACAGGGGTTCCTTTCCGTCCACGTCCTCAGCAGCATCTCTTGCTGGTTTTTTATCATGACTGGGGTAAAATGAAATTCATGCAGCTTTTATCAGACAGCTAGGGAGGTTGAACATTTTTCATGTTTATTGGTCATTTGCAGTTCATCTCCTGAGAACAGTTCGCTTCATTAGCCCATTTACTGAGGTGAGCTTTGACAGCATGTATCTTTCAGAGATGTACGTGGCTCATCTAAGTTGTTCAATTCGCTGAGATAATGTCTCGATATTATTCTTTGAAATCTGTTTACCTTATAGTGACATTACCTTTCACTCCTGGTGTTGGGAATTCGTATCATTTCTCTTTGGCTAGGTAAGCTAAATATTATGGATCTTTTCAAAACCAGCTTTTGCTTTCCTTGACTTCCTTTAGTAGTTCTTTCAATTGTATCTCATTGCTCTGTGCTCTTATCTTCACAATATCTATCTTTCTGATTATTTTAGAACTGATTAGTGCCTGTAACTCTGGCTACACTGTAACTCACAGAGACCCTCTTACCACCTGAGTGATGGGATTTAAGGGACCACCATTCTGAGATTTTAAAAATTTATTTGAAGATTTATCTATTTTGATTTGATCTGTGTGGGTGTGTTTGCCTGTATGTGTGTATGTACACCACATATGTGCAATGCCCATGGAATCCAGAAGAGGGCATTGGATCCTCTGGAACTGGAGTTATGGCTGCTTGTAAGTCATCATTTGTGTTCTGGGATCCCAACCTGAGCTTCAGTGCTCTTAACCACTGAACTCTCTCTCTAACCTTTTTTTCATTTCTTAAGGTGGACACTGAAGCCACCGAAGGATCAGAAGCATGTTTTCTTCTTTTTTTGTAGACATTTAATGTTATGAATGTCCCTGAAGAGCTGCCTCAATGCATCTGACAGATTCTATTACACTGTGTTTTAATTCACATAAAATACCAACTGACTTCCCTTTTAATTTCCTTTTTCATTCATGCATTATTCAGAAGTATATTTTTAGTCTTCAGAGAAAGAAATAGTGACTCCAAGTTCATCTTCAGCAGTGGGGATGTGAGGTTCTGATGTGAGATGGGGAACCATGTGCCTGTAAATAGGCTTTCTAGAGTGGCAGACAAGAGGTAGGTAAGAAGAGAGAGAGAGAGGGAGAGAGAGAGAGAGAGAGAGAGAGAGAGAGAGAGAGAGAGAGAGAGAGAGAGAGAGAGAGAGAGAGAGAGAGGTTCAAGAGGGAGGTGTAACAAAGAGCCCCTGGCTCCTGTCTTCACTAGGCCCTGGGTGCTTTGCCCACCCAGTAGGGGGAGCATCTCCAGCAACTGCACATTGATCCCTCAGAGCACCTCTAAGGTAGCAAAGCAGGCAGAATTTGATTTTTTTTTTTTTGCTAAGTTTTTCACGTATTAGTTGTACAGAGTGTTGTGGTTTGTTCTAATGTAACATTCTGTGCATGCATGTAATGTACGTTGATCATATCAATCCCTCTGCCTTTCTTATCCCATCTTCCCCTTTCTCATCCCTCATACCTGCCTCCTCTCCTTTCATTTCCCATCCCTAGATTCCTTATGTGAAGGAAAGCGTGATGCTTGCCTTTGTGAGACTGCATACTTCACTTAATATAATGAACTCAAATCCCTTACATTCAGAGCGGATCTTAAAATGGCTCTTTTAGGAAAATGGCATTCTGTGCCACAAGCTCTCTTTTCTTTCTTTCTTTTTTCCCTGGCAGTGTGCAAAGTTTCAACAAGAAAGAGCAACTTTAGCAGCTGTGATGGATGTAAATTGGACCAACTTCTCAGGCTTGACATATTTCTTGGTAAGTTTCAGAGAGCGATGTCAGTTCTTCAACCCCCACCCCAGATATCTAGCTAAATGTACCATGAAAGAAGAGCATCTCTAGAATCCTACCCTGAACAAATTAAGAGGAAGAGTACAACCCCTGCATTAGTGTGAAAACAGATGACTCAAGCATGCTACCAAATCTGGTCCCTGAATTGTGCCAAACAGGATCTCTTTAGGTTAACCCAGGTGAAGCATGCCAAAAATGGCCTAAGGAATGCCGAGTGTGAGCAGCACTGATCCTTACACACCAGTTTTAAACCCAGGCAAGAGAGGATCACAAATCTCCCTGAGACTCATGCATTTTTTTTCTATATCTAAATTCTGCCATGTCCTTCCTGTGTGTGGCCAGAGGTTACATTTCATCTACATGACCTTTGCTGGATGTCCCCAAAGGCATGCTTGGTGTGATGGCATGACAGCCCACAATGTACTGTTGTTCAGATCATTCCTGCACCCTCACATTTCCCAGTAAGGATGACACCAGGACTAGAATTGATGTAGATGGTGTGGCCAAGGTCAGACAGAGCCTCTGTGACTTCACAAGATGGAAGGTGGAAATCAGGGGGAATTCTGTTCTGGATCAGGGCACTAGTGTCGGAATTCTTGCTTGAAAAGCTCAAAGATTTAGGAGGCTCCAAAGACTGGACCTTAGAAATAATCCTGTGTATGTGGTGGACAGGCGCTTAGCAGCCACACTCAGGAAGGCCAGGTGAATGCTGACAAAGTTGCTTTTTAAGGTATTTGGGGTTGGGTCCAAACTTGAGTTGTGTACAACATGGTCTTCTAGCAACTTTTGCCTAAGCTTTGGACCCAAGAGAAGGCTTTCTAAGCTGGCTTGGCCTTTGGGGCCTTTCCCACATGACCTGATGGCATCCCTGCATATGGGAAGCATCTTTTTTAAAAAAGATTTATTTATTTATTATGTATACAGTATTCTGCCTGCATGTGTCCCTGTGCAGGCCAGAAGAGGGCGCCAGATCTCATTACAGATGGTTGTGAGCCACCATGTGGTTGCTGGGAATTGAACTCAGGACCTCTGGAAGAGCAGTCGGTACTCTTAACCACTGAGCCATCTCTCCAGCCCTGGGAAGCATCTTGAGTGGGGGACAAGAACAGACAAAGAGGTGTCAGAGTGGGTGCATGGATTCAATGAAATTGCCTTATCTTTCTGGCCTTTGTTTCCTATTTGCTGGTGTTGAACCAGGTCCTCTTTAGAGGCCTATCTGGTCCTAAGAGCTTTTAGTTCGGGGGGGTGGGGGGGCGGCGTAGCAGAGCAGTTGAGAGATGAGACTCAGGAACCAGCAGACCTATTCTTCCACATGGCCTAGCTGTTTGTCTTTGGATGACTTGTTTACGTTCTCTGTGCCGCCCCCCCTCATCTGTAGAGCTGAGGAGAGACCCTCACTCACATGGTAAATGCACTGGGCGAGTTAACCAGCAAACATTAGTTGTCTGCTATTGTGGGGCTCTGTGACACAGTTGTCACAGAGGACTCAAGTCAGTAACAATCTGAGAACTGAAAACTAAACTTTGGAATGACTTGGTTTTGGCCTTCGCATAAGGAAAGAGTTAATAAGATGTGTTCACAGGGAGCTGGAGGGGAAACGATTGATTCTGGAGATGTAAAAATCTTCTATTCTTCTACTTCAGAGCAATGGACCAACGATCCATTTTTAGAGGCCCTGTCACTCCATCTGCCAGCTTTTCAGCTCATTTAATGGCTATATTTATTTTTGTCCACAGAGAACCCAGGTGTTTCCTACCTCGCTCTTTTTAGTTAACTTTGACAAGTTAACTAGCAATTCTGTAAAAAACCTTCTGAAAGGCAGTGCTCACAAAGTCATTTTGATGTTGGCCTAAATCCTAATTTCTTTCGGGTATGTTCTTTCTGGTGTGTGTGTGTGGGGGGGGGGTTGTTAGGGTCTCTGAGCCACAGGTCACAGCCCTCAGCACCATGTATGTGTCTGCACAGCTGGATTACTTGAACAGCATGTGAATGGTATCCCCAGGATGCAGCTGTGACCTTGGCTGGGCTAGAGCTGTCCTCCATAGGGTGTTTTGGTTTTTGAGAGAGGGTCTTTCTATGTAGCCTGGGATGTCCTCCAATTCATGATCCCTACTGCCTCTGTCTCCACAGTGCAGGGATTGTCGACATGCACCACCAAGCCTGGCCACTCTTTGTGTTTCTAAAGGACTTTGGTGACACCAAGAAACATGGTTATTTGTTTTTGTGTTAATTAGAGGGGAGGGGCACCCAGACAAGAAATATAAGCTCCAATGTGAGCTAATTTCTACCTACGTGACTCCCAGCCTCTTTGGGTGGGATTACTGTATGACTTGTCTGCCCTTCAGAGATGTGAGGGGGACAAAAAAAGACCCCTGTAGTTTTTCAAATGGGAAGTCCTCAAAAATGTGCGGCATTGCAATTAGTTAAACAGACTCAGGATGAGCACCACGATCAAAGCCAAGTTCGAGAGGGGAGTAAAGTGCATTCTGGTATCTCAGATTTGAATACCTAAGGCCCAGCCACATTCTCCACTGATGCGAGTGTTGCTCTGGTCTATATGAACCAAGTCTCTCCTGGACAGATCTCACCTCTCTTCTTCTACTACTACCAGACTACTACCCCAGTCCTCTCATGGCCCCTTTTTATGCAGAATCCAGAGCAAGCTCTTAGGTGTGTGAAAACAGATGAACAGTCCCCATGCTATACCGTGTCTCCTCCTTTGGGGCTCTGGCCACACTGGCACTCTTCCTGGGCCTGGGTCCCCCCTTCCTCTCATGACATTGGCTTTTCTTCACCATCTGGGGAAAAAAAATCTCATGTCCCTGCTTATAGAAAGTGCTTCCTGGGTACCCAGGTGTATCCCTTTCGATTTCCCCGAGCTCAGTTGTCCCTCAGTACCCACCAGGGACTGGCTCTAGGAACCCCATCAGGTACCAAGGTTCCAGAATGCTCATAATCCTCATAAAGAGTGGCTTATTACTGGCAAGTAACCCATAGTCTTCCCATATACATTAAGTCACATCTCAAATACTTAAGGTGCCCAATCCAATGTAAAAGCAGTGTCAGTAGTTGTAGTAGGGGCTGGAGAAGTGGCTGAGTGGTTGTCAGTGCTTGCTGCTCCGGCAGAGGACCTGAGTACAGTTCCTAGCACCCACGGGGTGGTTCACAACAATCTGTAACTCCAGTACCTGGGGATCTACCTGGCATCCTTTTCTGTCTTCCTTGAGTACCAGGCATGTATGCGCATGGCACACAGACATATGTGCAGGCAAAACATTCGTATACATAAAAGTACATGAATCTTTTAAAAGAGTAGTTATGTAGTTTATAAGTAGTGTTATGCTGTGTTGCTCAGGGAACGCTGATGAGAATACTTATTTTTAAAATCGTTTCCTATTCATGTCTAGTTGCGTCTGCAGATGTGGTGCCCATGGCTCCACTCTTCACTCTCTGGGCTCCTCTTCACTGCTTATCTCTTTGCCTCTTGAAACGTGCTCTGTGATCAGGAGGTCTCCAAGTGTCTAGGGTGGAGCAGGTGCTCAGAAAACCTTTATTGGCTGAATGAGTGGGTTGTCATAGCATCCGCAGCTTTTGGCCACCGTGGATCTAGTCTCGACGGTATCACACTCTCAAACTATTTAACAGAGAACCAGATGGGCCTTAAATTTTCAGATTTCAGCATACATTAAACCAACAATGCTGATTCTTAAAGGTCAAATTTCTCTTTCTAGTCAAAGCTTAGAATAGCAGTGAGGGGAAATGAGTATACAGCAAGGGCTTTAGCTTGCAACTCCTGGGAGAATTCCAAGGCCCTGGATCATCTTCAGCATTTATGGTCTGATGACCCAAACATAAGGATACAATTAAAATGAAGGATTTGAGTAGAAGGCAGACTCAGCGTTCATTTTCTCCAGAAAGCTGCTGAGTCAGGGCAATGAACATCAGGAATCTCGGTTCAAAAAGATTCCCTCTAGGTCTCCCCCTATCCATCAAGAAATTGTGCTATATCTCATGTAAAAGTTAAATCATGAGTTGTTGTTCACAGTGAAATAGTGTACCCTGAAAATGAATGTGTAGCATCCTGGGAGGATTTTATTTCTTTAGTGTTTGTATAGTGGAGTTGCATTTTATATGGGGAATGTACTGGGAAGTCATTCAAACTTGGCCTTGATGTCAGCTTATGCCACACATTAATGTCAGATTATCCAGCTTTATGTAACTACAGAATCCCAAAGACACTGTCATCTTGGTCCTTGCAGCCCTCCTGTGGTTAAGGCTTCTTCGCAGTTCTTAGTCTCCTTTCCTTTAAGAGTGTCTTTGTAGCTCCCATTACTTACAAATGGGGCTTTCTTCCTGAAGTTCTTAGTGTTGAAAAACAGTTATCAGGACTGTCTTAGTCAGGGTGTCCGTTACTGTGGTGAACAGCATGACTAAAAGCACTTTGGAGAGGAAAAGGTTTATTCTGCTTACACTTTGGCATAGCAGTTCATCATGGAAGAAAGTCCGGAGGCGGGAACTGAAGCAGAGGCCGTGGAGGCGTGCATCTTACTCCCTTGCTCTCCTCCCTTGCCTGGTTTGCTTTCTTCTGCCATTCAGGACCACCTGCCCTAGGGTGGCACCACTTACAATGGTCTGGACACTCCCACATCAATCATTAATGAAGACGATACCCCACAGACTTGCCTAAAGGGCAGACTTACAGAGGCATGCTCTCAGTCTTAAGAGTCCCTCTCCCCAGACGTGTCTAGGTTTGTGTCAAGCTGACAAAAAGCAACCAGCATAGATGATAAACAAGACATGTTTACCAAGTTTATTTGCACCCATCAGCTATTTTATTGTATTTATTTGCTAATCTCTGATAATTGGTTTATCGTAATTGTATGAATACAAGTTAAATGCATGCACATGATTCTACTGCAGTAGAAGTAAAAATGAATTGCTAGGGTCTGGGTGGTTTGAAGGACAATGGCCCCTACAGGCTCATATATTTGAATGCTTAGTCACCAGGGAGTGGAATTGTTTTGGGAAGGATAAGGATTGGAGGAAGGGTGTCACTGGGAGACTGGGAGCGGGCTTTGAAGTCCCTCCACCCTCTCCCTCCTACCTGCATATCAATCAGGATGTAAAGTTCTCAACTACTGCTTCAGCACTATGCCCATCTGCTGCCCACCATGATGATCATGAACTAGCCCTCTAAAACGGTAAGCAAGACCCCAATTAAATGATTTCTTCTATAAGTTGCCTTGGTCATGGTGTCTCCTTACAGCAATGGAACAGTAAGTAAGATATAGGGTAACTTCAGTGTCCTAAGGCTTTATTGACCTGGGAAATAAATACAACATCACTGAAAATGATCTCAACCCCCATAGCATATTATTGCATTTTTCTATGTTTTTTTCAATCACAGTATTGCAGATCTCTACAATGTGCCTTGCCGACATTTCTGAGAGCCTGCATGTAGGATGGGACCTTTTAGATGCTCATGAGCAAGACTGCTTTTGCCACTACAGATTTTCTCCTGCACAGAAGGTCTTCATCTCCTATGCAAATTACTCGAAGGGAGTCCCTCCCACCAGTTCTCCTAAGGGTGGGTAGCCAGTATTGTCACCATGGGAGTAGCCTCGTCTCATCTCCTACCAAACCTTTTCACTTCATGTCACTGGTGATTGACGTTATGCAGAATAACTACACAGAGGTCGGGCAGGCACACAGGTGAAACTAACGAAGATCCCAGGCTATCAAAGAATCTGATTCAGACACTACTAAGATGAGCAAATATGTGATGGAGAGGTGGGAAAGATAGGAAAATGGAGTGGTGCATATACCATGGAGAGAGGTGGAAATGGAGAAACCATGGCAGAGACAGGCTGAGGTTGACAGTGGATCCATGGTGAATACCACCGCCTGAAGCCATGTTGATGCCCATAGGCCATGCTGCTGCTGGGGACCATACTGATGTGAGTGGCCTGAGGCCATGGTGATATCTTTGGTCCAGAAAGCTTCCAAGGGCCTTGTCTGGGCCTTTGGTCCTATTGCATCCGGGGACTGTTTTCGTGGTCTATGGTGTCACCAGAAACCATGTGGAGGCCCATGGTCCATGCTCCCGATGACTGTGAAGAGCAAGGAGGCTACTTCTGCAGTGATATCGATGACTGTAGATACACAGTTGAGAGGGAGGGATGTGGAAGGCTTCTGTGATAATCCCTATCCCTCCCCCCAACCCCTCCAAAAGGTAACATTCTAGACAGAAAATCATCAAGGGATACTCTTTAAAAGAGTAATGGAGTTGGGCAGTGGTGGCGTACGCCTTTAATCCCAACACTTGGGAGGCAGAGTAAGGCAAATCTTTGTGAGTTCGAGACCAGCCTGGGCTACAGAGTGAGATCCAGGTCAGGCTCCAAAGCTACACAGAGAAACCCTGTCTTGAAACAAACAAACAAACAAACAAACAAACAAACAAACAAACAAAATAAAAGTGTGATGGGAATGCTGAAGTGTAGTTCTCCATGATTGATGGTTTCTGGTGGGGGTGCTGGAGGGGAAGGACTCAGTTCTAGCTGAGGGGCAGGCCACTGAGAGTTTGATCACACTCCAGTGAGTATACGGATAACACATATTGGACTTTTTTTCTCATTTTTATTTTTACTTTTTTGGGGGGAAGGGGTGTCCCAAGGGCAGGGGGTGGACATGGAAGGATTGGGAAGTAAATATGATTGGGGTGCACGATGTGAAATTTCTTGAGAATCAATAAAAATATTATGTTGAAAATATTTTTAAAAATCAGTTAAATAAAAAAATACATCAGGGAGAAAAAAGGAATCCAATTGTTCATATAGAAGAAGTAAAATGGATACCTGATTTCTCTTGTGTGTCCAAACTCATATAGAGGCCAGAGGAGGATGCCAGGGACTGCCTCTATTTTATTTCACCTTGTGCCTTAGAGGCATTTTTCAGGTAGGTTGGCAACCAGCAAGCTCCCACAATCCTCCTGTTTCCGGGTCCCTCAGTGCTGGGGTTGAGGGTGTGGCTAGGACCATGTACAGCTTTAATATGGGCTCCGAGACACAAATTCAGGTCCTAATAATGATTATGGTGATTTCTTCTTTTTCTCTTCCTCTCCTTGTCCTCCTCCTCCTGCTTCTCCTCCTCCTCCCCCCCTCCCCCCTTTTCTTCCTGCTCCTCATCTCATGTCTGCAGTTTGTGTGGCTTCTCTTGGGTCTGGATGTAGTAGAAAGTTGGAGAGATTAGAAACACGGACATCTTTCTTTCTGGCCAGCTGCCTCTCACCACCTGAGAGCAGGTCTGGTGGCCGCTGCTGGGACTTCCAGGTTCTTGTGTTCCAGAACAAGGAGTTAGCAGATGTGTGCATGTAGCAGTAGAGATAATGTATTAGATAAAAACATAAACTTTCCAGGGAGGATGCAGGTGGGTGGAAGTTTAGAAGCTCTGATAACTCAAATGGCCCTTGTTTGTCTCTTTTGAGATAAGGTTTCACACTGCGGCCCAGGGTGGACTTGAACTCATGGCATTCCTTCGTTTTCAGTTTCCTTCCCCCCATGCTGGAATTACCTAATGTGTCTCCACCCTCAGAGTAAGTACTTTTCATTAGGAAAGTGACACAGGAGCTGGGTATGGTGGTCCACACTTTAATCCCAGGATTTGAGGAGGTAGAGGCATGAGGAGGTGAGGAGTTAGTTCCAGAGCATCTTTATCTACGTAGTGAGTTTGAAGCCAGCTTGAGATTCTGTCTCAAAAAAAGCTAAACAAAGCTGGGCAGTGGTGGTGCACACCTTTAATCCCAGCACTCAGGAAGCAGAGCCAGGCAGATCTCTGTGAGTTCGAGGCCAACCTGGTCTACAGAGCAAGTTCCTGGGACAGCCAGGGCTACACCGAGAAACGCTGTCTCTGTTTTTTTTTTTTTTTTTTTTTTTTTTTTTTTCTTAGAGCTGAGGACCGAAGCCAGGGCCTAGCAAGCGCTCTACCACTGAGCTAAATCCCCAACCCCGAAACCCTGTCTCGAAACAAACAAACAAACAAACAAACAAACAAAGCCAAACAAAGAAGAAAGTAACCGATAAAAGTCTCCTTTCAAAATATCCCTACCTTGCAAATTAACCATTACTGATTTCTGGGTTAGAAAGCCAAGATTCGAGAATCACATCCATAGCAGATTGAAATGCCTGAGCTGGTCAGAGGGCCTATAGACCCCTGCTGAAAGGTCAGGAGATGCTGCAGTTATAAAGCCCTGGAGAAAGATGGCAGGGAGGGAGGGGTCACAGTATCATGAAATACTGTTTATAACTCTGATGTTTTCTAACCTGCCGCTGTAAAACCAGTCTTATTCCCTTTTGAAACAGTGTCCTGGGAGCCCCGAGATGACCCGTTCGGATGTTCTCAAACAGACTTTCCCCGTGAACCTGGCATGTGCTGGTTTGCTTAAGGATCTTTATGATTCTTTTAGTCTCCAAAGGAGCCCCCAGGTCAGTTTGTAAAGAGACCCGAGAGATCTTTTGGAATTCTCCTGAATTCTTCTGTGAAGTTCAAGAGCTTCACATTTGGATTTTATTTAAATCTGAAGCTACAGGGCAACGTATCATGAATATGTAAGATGTAGTTTCCACTGAGGTATTGGGGGTGAACTGATAAGGACTTTGAAATAACTAAGTTAAAGAATTGAAGACAAAGGAGCGGGAAAGATGGTATAGCACCCAAGAGTGCCCCCTGCTCTTCCAGAGGACCAGAGTTCGGTTCCCAGCACCAACATCAGGCAGTTCCAGGATATCTGACTTCCTCCTCTGGCCTCCTGGGGTACCCAGACACAGGTGCCACATACATAAATAAAAATAAGTATTTTTTTTAATAGAAAAAAGAGTAGAAAAATTTACCAGGGAACTGGGGATCCTTTCAAAAACTAGTCACGTAAGAATTTTAAAAATGAAACAAAAATGTGGTGCCCCAAATTAAGACCTTAGTAGATAGGCTGAACAGCAGAGGATGATGTAAACAATGCAACTACTGGTGTGTTCCTCAGCCTTTCCATCACTGTAACAAACTCCCTGAGGTAACCAACAGATAAAGGGAAAAGTTAATTTTGTTTCTGAAGTTCTGGCTCCTGGTTGATTGGCCATGCTGCTTTTGGCCTGTGGTGAGGTGACGCCTCTTCACAAAAGAGAAAGATTGGGCTAGGTTCCCCCCACTGCTATCTGAGGACATGCTCCCCCAGACCTAAGGACCTTCCCTGTAGATCCTGACCCCCAGAAGCTCTATGACTTCTGGACAGTGTCATCCCAGGGATCATGATTTTTTACTCATGGGTCTTTGGGGACATTCAGATTCAAATAATAGCAATAGGTCAGTAAACATTACCCACAGCACAAACACTATGGCACATTCTTATCACGAAATACCACACAGTAAAAGAAATGAACAAAAATATAAGCTACTGATCTGTACAGCCCAAATAACATGCAAAGAAATCATATGAGAGAAATGAAACATAAAACAGACATGTTCTGGTCATCTATTTATACATAATTCAAGAATAAATATTGATTTCAGAAAAAAAAGAACCCAAATGGTCCATGCTTCTGAGGAGCAGGTATGAACTGGGTGTAAGCAAAAAACATTATGGTGTAATATAGATTTTTTTGTAACTTGATTTGTATAATGGTTATAAGGGAAACACCATACACATGCATGCACACAGACATAAACATACATAATACACATATGCACATACACAATACACATACATGCACATACACACACAGGCACATACATACATTCATAAACACACACACATATTTTGTATGCATGTAAAATTTCACTGAGTGCACACATAAAATCTGCTTGCTTTGCTCTGCATAAAAAGTAGCTTAATTAAAAGCACACCAAAAGAGACTCCCCAGCCGGTTGGTTCCTGAGTCATCTTTTGTGTGTTGGAAGGAAGGTCCCTGGGGTTGTCAGTGACTCCTATGGCTGCTGGGAAGTTTATCAAGGAGGAAGGAGCCTGGACAGAGGGTGTTCAGGAAGTTGCAGAACGTCTACCATGAACTACTGCTGTCCTTAGAGGTAAGAAAACTGAAGTCTCCCTTGAAGAGCCTCTGGAGGAAGTCAGCAGGGGTCGCTCCGCATTCCCTGGCTTATTCCCTGACAAGTTCTCCAGGCCCCCGGTCGTCCTCTCAACCTCTCCTCCGAGTACAAATTAACCTGTTGTCACCATGCATGTGCACTTAGGATGTGACGCACAGGCCACCAGCCTTTGCCTCAATAGTTTTTGGCCTAAAGTCGTGTGTGTGTGTGTGTGTGTGTGTGTGTGTGTGTGTGTGTGTGTGTGTGTGCATACCCAGGCCCTTTCACTTGTTAGAGACCCAGCCCCAAGGTGTAGCGCTATCAAAATGTCAAGCATTCTCAGTTGAGCAGGGATATCTAACAGCCTGTCTCTTTCAAATAGTTCACCCTGTAGGCAAGAAGGTGGAGGGCATTTACGTACACTCTGAGTTCTTCATTATGGAAAGCACTGAAGCAGTCAACATTTAAAACGACCACGTGTCATTTAATGAATACATGTGTGGCAAGACAGGCCCAAGCCCCTTTGCTACCAGTGGTCAGAGCCTGGGTCCTGTGTTTTCAGGAAAGAATTATCCTGAGCGCTGAAAGCAGAGGCTTGCACAGTTTGACAGAAGGAGCAAGGTAACTTTATTTGGAGCAAAGTGACAGTATGCATTAAAGAAGGATGTGCTGGGGTCCATCTTGATTGACAGTGGGACCCATGGGTGAGGCTCCTCAAGGACTCTTATTATTTTTTTTTTTTTTTTTTTTTAAATAGGGTTTAAGAGAAGGGGGCGCTGATAATGAGGGGGCATAGTTTGGGAGGGTCTCTTTTTTATATTTATATTTTATTTTATGTATATCAGTGTTTTCCTTGTACATTTGACTGTACACTGTGTACATGCCTGGTGCTCACAGAAGCCAGAAAAGGGCACTGAATCCCCTGGAACTGGAGTGATGTTGTGAATCACCATGTGGATGCTGAAA